CACTCATCACTGACACACACACACACACACACACACACACACACACACACACACACACACAGACAATCCTTTCTTTCCATCTTCTGTGCATTAAGGAGAAGACCTTGTATCCATGACCTGTCTGATTCCTTGGCTGACTACTCAAATGCTGTAAACTGTAATGAGCAGCTACTTAAAATTCAAATTGTATTCATGAAATAAAGCAGAAGTCTGTGAGTGAATGGTTTTTCTTTCCTTAAATTAAATCAGAAAAGAGATGTGACTGATGATGGAAATTTTCTTTCAATACAATTTTCTGCTAAACAAGAAGACAGGAAGCAACGATCATGTCAGTCCAATGTCAGTCCAGTCGCAGGTTCATGTGTCAGTGAAGGAAGGCACTTGTCATCTCGAGACTGCTCCCTTTTCTCATATTGGTCAACGCCCAGTGAGGACTCTTCTAATCCATGTAAATGCATCCTGATCCTTGCCCAGAACCAGTGAGTAAAGAGTACATTTGTGATGTGTTTTTGAAGGACTTGTTGAGTGGATCAATTAGAATCTGAGTCAGTTATGAAGAGGGTTGCTTGAGTTACATCTATTTGGCAAATGCTGTTATCCAAACTGACTAGTGTGTCGAGGAGCAGTTTGGGGCTCGCTGTCTTGCCCGCAGATACTTCGACATGTGGAACAAACCACCGACCCTAAGGCCGACCTGCTTGACCACCTGAGCTACATCCATCCCTTTTGTGAAATAACAAATTATTAGCCTTCAATTTTTAATACATTCTATAAGGTAATGTTGAGAGTTATTGTTTCAGCTTACTTTTGGACCCTTCGGATACATCTATGACGGGAGCTTCCCACTTAAAAATCCCAAGTGACACACTTACTCTCACCACCCTCTGTTTCCTCTATCATCATATATTTCAATATGGTGCACCAGTATTCTCCACACATCCCTCCAGGCGTATCGGCAGTTCCTTGATGACAAGAAATCGGTTCAACTCCAAAAATAATCTTTAACCTCTTGGGGAATATTAGCAACAGATCCTATTGTTTTGCTACTTGGCACTGTGCCAAGAAGGACTGTTTGTCCAAGTTAGCAACAGTAACTAAGGAGGGCAGGACTTTTGCAATAGGTCAGTTTTGGCTAGCAAGTAAAGTTTAGTCTGATATTTCCTAGCAACGGTGTTGGGGGTAAAAAGGGTAAATCATCTCCATTTTAAACCACTTCCATACGGGTCATTTTTGCAACTTTTCTAGATATGAGGCATTGTCTCAGTCCCTCTTTGTCCTACATCCACCAGTTGTAACAGCTACATGGGGAGCTCCTTCCTCTTTCCTTGCTGCAGCCAGCGTCCCCTCTGGGAGGGTGGGCCTTCCCTGTGTCCCATCATCCTCGCAGTCCTCATCCTGGGCGGAAGCCATGAGGCAATAAATTCTGTCTTCACACCCACTCTGACAAATGTGCCTTCACCTCCCAGGGTTGGAAAATAAATCCATGCAGGATACAGGGGCATTCTTCTCAAGAATTGTATACTAGGACGAGAAGGGGGAGCACGAATACTGGAGGCGTAAGTAGTGTATGTGATATGTAGCATAAGCCACACACCTCTCCACACTTGCATAAAAAGGCACACATCAATTGAATAGTTCCTGTCTGACTCCATATTTACTTAAATCAAAACAGAGTCAGACTATTGTTGGAAAGTGCTCAGTTCCTCTTCTTTTTCATCTCCCAAAAAATCTTTCCTTCTCATCCTCTCTTGTTCTCTCCCTCTATCTATCTCTCTCTCCGCCACTCCACTGATCAATACCAGAGCTATAATGATGATGAACAACCCGCATCAAGGAAGGAATCTCAAAACATATTTTTGTCCTCTTACGCATGCTGATGACATCTGGTGAGGCTGTGGATCTTCTCCCCTGTTTCCCTCTGTCTCTACATAAATGTAAATGAGATGTGTGTGCTTGTGGAACTAATCTGTATTGTGTTGTAAGTAGCTCATCTGAATACAAATAATCTTCCCAATACATTTATACCACAGGGAGCTCGTGTCACAGTGTAACGTCAGCCAGGAATCACATTTTGACACTTGTCTGCATTTGTAAGGTTAAAAAGAGTCAAATTCACTTACAAAATAAAACGGTAAGAGCAAAGTTACAGAGTCCAGAGAGCTTGTACAAAATGCCAATGCATGAAGCTGTGACTAAAGCTGTGTTCAGGGACTGTACAGCATGTGTCCAATAAAAAATGCTGTGCACCTTTGGAGCAATAAAACTGGACTAAACCTTAGTGAGCCAAAAGCCTTGCATTCAAAAACTGCATTCATAACCCACTGCCTAATTCACAACATTGTCTAGTGATGTAAAATCATGGGAGACATGACGAGCAGAGGATGTCAGAATTTGGGAATTCCTATCTGGACACCTGACAGACTGCATTCACTTCAAATCAGGAGTTCTGAAACTGGGCACTTGCTCAGTGGAAAAATGTGTCTTGAATTTTCCACTTTTGACAAATAAGAAAAGAAAAAACGAACGTTTGAAATGACTGCAATAGCGTATAGAAGCATGCTTATCAGATGACTTGTAGCAATAATCTTCCATCAGAGAATCCAGGGATAATCCATTTAACATCACTTCATAGGTTCATTGTTATCAAATCCTTCCCATATGGCTGCACTGTATGCTTTCAGAGATGCAGTTATTCAAAAATGGGCAAAGACAAAAGGGTCCAGCCTGAGACAAATTCAGTACAAGAGCTTTAGTGTGTTTCAAAGTATTTTCAGTAAGGCTTTTTCTGTGGCCTGTTTTCAGAAAAGTTGTTGAAAAGTAGACATAATTTTACACAGAGCTACTATGTTGTATAACAAGACAGTAGCAATGATCCCCTCAGTACTAATTTGGCTGATTGTATGCCTTTTAACTCTTGAATCATATTGAGGTGTAGGAAGTAGTTGGCATTTCTTTCCTTGACTAGTTCAATTATATCAAACAACAATTGGAAACATTGGTTAAATCAATAGCAACATGATTACTGGAACTTTGATCAATTATGCAAACAAGCAATGCTGCTTTATTAAGTTTCTATATAAACACATTTAACATACAGCAATCTATCACTGACAAGGTGCTTCAATGCACGTAAAACTTTGCATAATTTGTGTTTGCTCTTGACTTTAATCTTTATTATTTTTCTTGGCACTACAGGCACAAAGACGCCTGGATATTATTCAACACTCAGATGGAGCCAGTTTGGCATCAAATTAGTGGAAAAAATGTGCACAAAGTAGACTGAAATAAGAGACAAGGAGGTATGATTTTGATCACGATAGAGATGTTGTGAACATGTCAGTTATCCCTGTTTCATTTCTGGATCGAGGAATGCAGCAAATAATCCCTACTGGTCACGTCGTAGCCAGCACACAGTTCACAAAACATGTCCAAGTTGCAAGCTATCCATGATTTAGTAGCAAAGGATTATTATTATGAATCACAGTGAGTTTTGTTCATTTGTTGTGTCACAGGGCTACAGCAGTGAAAATAACAGGATATTATATGTCTCACCTGCATTCCTGAGGAACCTGCCAGTGTGAGAAGTGATGACTCTGGTTTTGGGGTCATAGAAACCATCTCCACAATCGTAACATCCATCAGGAATGACGCGTGGCGGATGCAGATCAGTTAGCTGAGATTCTCCTGTATGAACAGTTTACTGTGGTTTACAACTACTAACAGAAGCTTTGTGAGACAGGCATTTAGTACAATGCAAGAGAAGTATTCTGTCATATAGAGAAGTTATGATTAGAAGCTTTTTTGTGTTTGTTTTTTGGATCTGTAGAACACATGCTTGTCAAGTTAATGGCAGTGTTGCTCCTCTGACTCACAAATTGTTCCCAATCTCTCTTATTAACAGTGTTTTCTTTCTGAAAATGTGAGTTTGGTAGTAGGATAAAGGAGAAAGCGCAGTGAATGAGCAAATACATAAAGCAAATACATGAATTCCAACCTGCAGGTCTGAGTCCATTGCACCTCTCACTGTAGAAACGCCTGTCATAACCATCGCAGTAGTCCCAGTCCGTCTCCTGGTACTGCAGACCATCGGCAAAGGTCAGTGACCCCTGGTGAGGAAGTTCAGTGATTAAATCATTCTCAGTATAATGTCATAGGTTAAACTTCACCCACATTTCCCAAAAGCAAAACAAGACTTAATTTTCCACTAACCTCTAGTGGTGTCTCAAAACAGTGATAACTCAACAGCTGGAATAATGTTACTCAAGTTAATTCACAGTCTCACTTTTGACAGTTTTCCTTGGGTCTATTTCTTTGACAAAAAGTAGTTCCAGTGAAAACAATTGAAAGTGGGGTCTGGCAGTTATCCTGCAGTATGTACCCCAGACATGGTTTCTGGAAAGATAAGTTGCTGTTGAGGTTTTCAAATGTCACTTTTCAGTACTTTAAGCACCACAAAAGAATTTAAATTGTCTTCCATTGTCTTTGTGTTAAGGCAGAAATCTCAGAGATGGCTATCTCAAAACCTCAGCAGATAAAACCAGAACTGCCCGCACAGATATACTGTATACCAGTATCAGAGTGGAAAAGTGGAAAAATATGTCTTTTGGTATTTTGGGTGAACTGACACGCAGTGTGTATGTATGTGTGTGTTTCTGGGGAATAATACAATTGTTACTGGGAATGAAAAATAAACATAAACTGTTCAGTAATTTAGCAGAATTTGGATGCATATCAACATTTTCACTTCAATATCAACAATATGGTCTGCAATCAGGAAAGTGCATTAATTCTTATTTTTATTTCGGTAATTTCGGAGGAGTGCATATTTGGTGATGGATCAAATACAAATAAAATAAAAAACGAAGAGAAGAGCAGTCCCACATTATTTTTACATTTAAATTTTGAATGATAGGTTGCAACCAGTGTGCTAGACATATGCTAGATATAGCATTGTCTTCTCTGTAGACCTTTCTTCACAGCACATATTTAGACAGTAGAAGAACCGGTTTAACTAATAACATTAACAATGCTTCAGCTGTTGTACTGTTTTACAACTCTTATGCAGCCTTGATTAATGTTTCTAATTACATCTGTGTTTGTCCTGCTATGCTATTCTGCTATTAACCTGCACCAGATATAATTTGAGGTTACTGTTCATTTCATGTTTGTTGTTGTTTCACAGGCGCAGCTGAGTTTAAAATAAAGCAGTGGCAGTGACATTTACCCTTCAACCACAAGACTTCTAATAAAACATTTATTATATTAGTATATTTTTAGAGTTTCTTCTACGTTAACATAAAGTGGATTTCAACCCTTCAGGACGGCCCTTTAAAATGCTTGTTTAATCTGGTGAATATAAAATAAAATAGGAAAGAATCTATACGTTTGGGAACCCTCAATTACAATGTTAAGAATCATGTTTGAAGGAAGAAGTATCAGAAGTACCAGATATAATTCCCAGAGTTTGATTTTCCGAGTTTATGGGATGGTTCAGGTCTGTTTTGAATGGAAGTAGCTTTGCTTGGGATGGCATGGATGCAGGTGCAGGGTAGTCTGGGCCAAGGTTAGTCATGGTTTAGAGTTGCTATCATTTCAAATGAACCGCAGCTGAAATGATGATAATAATTGGAGTGATCGCTGTTGTGGCAAAAGCCCATGAACGATTGCATCAGAGCAGGAGAGAGACCGTAGCTTCATGCAGGGAAAAAGGAGAGAAACCTAATAACTACGACAATAACGGTGAGTGATTGCTAAAAGGGACCAGATGTAATATCGACTATAACCAATGTGAAACACACAGTCATGCATGTAGATGCATATATCCTGACATGCATGCAGGGACACACACACACACACACACACATAACTCCTCACCTGTTTAGCTATGCCGTTTTCCCAGGTGGCCTCATATTTACTTCCATTTGGAAAGTGTAGCACTCCTTTGCCATGAAACATGCCATCTTTCATCTCTCCCACATACTTGGTCTCTGTGGGGAATGTGTACTCTCCTTTTCCATGCATCCTGAGGGAGAGAGGATAATGGTCACACACAGTTTTCTCAACTTAAATCAACGGTTTGGTTGTGTGTGTCCTGCAGTTTTTAGCTTTAGGGAACAGACATTCATTTACCTGCCATTTTTGGTGTCTCCTTTGTAACTGCTTCCGATGAGCTCCATCAACAAATGGACTTGCTAGCACTATTTCTTCTAAAAATGAACAAACCTCGGACCTAACATCGACTGGACTGGAAGTGTACTGTCACCATGGCAACGCGGCAACGGAGAGCCAAAGCGGGAGGCTGCAGGTTAAACCGTTACGAAGACCAACGGACCCTTCGTTACAGTTTTGTCATTGGAACAGTTTATAAATTAAACTTGACACAACAAAAACACAAAGTTCATCCGCGTTAAAAAAAAAAAATATTAATATAGATATATATATTAATATTAATAAAGATATTTTACAACTCCTTCAGTGCGCATGCGGCTCTCTCGCTCACGTCATCAGAACGCGCCTCTCAGCTGACAGCGGCGGCGCTGTCGCAGCAAATCGAGCTGACCTTCCCGCGGCCTCGTCGTCCGTCCGGGAGCCAGACGAGGACCTTGAATGTGTTTCAGCAGCGGTATTTGATTCTCTGCGGTCGTTTTTGTTGTACAGACACGCAGCCATGTCCACACTGGAAGTTCCCTCGCTGCAGGAGCTGAGCGTGGACGAGGTGAGCCGTTGTTGTTGTAGCTTGAAGGAGAAATAGTAAAGAGCAGAGCGGGATGGCTAACGAGCTGGCTAACGTTATCTAATGGTTCAAGGTATTCTCAGTAGCTTCTAACTTCTGCCACTGGCGTTATTTGACCTGCATTCACAATGGTGGAAGTTAGTTAAATAACATGCATCGCTAAAAGGTCTGTTGGCATATACTTCTGAATGCAGTCGAGGTTGGGAATTGCGGTTTCTGTATGCTTTCCGCCGTGGCAGCATTAAATAGAGAGACATCACAATATGCAGGCACTCGTTACAGTCTGAATTAACGCCACATCTTCAGTTTAGCTTTAGTTAATTTACATTGGCTGCCTCAAAACAAAGCTGCGGCCGGTTTCTGCCAGCAGCGGTGATATTAGGTACTTTGAACTTGTCCTTGGAGGTCAGGTGTTAGCTGGCAGCAATAATACATCACCATCAAGGACATAACAGACAATACGTTTCTTTTAAACTGTGCACTTGTTACACTTTAGTGCACAACGCCTTTACCTCCCCACTCTCAACTTCATACTGATGTTTTGAAGTATAACTGAGTGTTGTATTGCCAAGGACCTCCCAAATAGTTGTTTTCTTCTAATGAGAAATCATACAGATAGTTCTGTGGTGGATGGAGATCGATACAGTTCACACACCTGGCAACAGGAGGACTGTTGTTGATCATTTACAGAAATGCTGGACAGGAATAAATGGTTGTCCTTCAAGAAATAGCTCAGACCTCATAGCTGCCTCTTGAATCACAAAGCCTGTGTTTCTTTTTTTAATACACAAGTTTAGTAAACAATATAAAACCTGTTGGGTAAAGATGACAATTTGTGAGCATCAGAATTATCCTGATAGTTTCCAGCCACTCCCAGTGCTTCATTTAATTTCATGTTTATTTGATAAGGACAGATACAGTTTACATAGAAAATTAATTTGCAGTAAAATGTATTACAGCATTTGTAGCTACAGATAATTTCCAATGCCTGTCCATAGAAGGGCCTTTTAAAGTAAGACATAAAACATGGCTACAATTCTTTCTGCATACTAGATGAATATTAAAATTATCCATCTTGGATCCAACACATTTTTTTTTACACTACTTGATTAAATAACTACACAAAAATAATCCTGTGCCTCGAGAAATTAAAATATATATCTTAGTGTATCTCTTTATTTGGTAAGTATTTTAAAACCATTCTCATTGTTTCCCATGTTTCTGTCCTTGTTTCTTTCCAGATCAAAGTGTCATCTGCTGTGTTAAAGGCTGCTGCTCACCATTATGGCTCCCAGTGTGACAAACCCAACAAAGAGTTCATGCTCTGCCGCTGGGAGGAGAAAGACCCCAGAAAGTGTCTAGACGAAGGGAGGAAAGTCAACGAGTGTGCGCTCAACTTCTTCAGGTAACTCACATTCAGGGTTTTATATCTTTTTGGTGCTAAATTCACGACTGTCTGAAAGGATCCTCTAAGAAGGGTTTTTTTCCCCTAGAGACTCAATACAGTTAATAAAGACTAGAACTCTAGTGATTAGGCAGAATCTCTACATTTTTGGAGATGAAGGCTGCTACAGTTGTGTGAATGTTGAATATTGTGCTTTTGGTCAGCATGTGATTAAAGATATGGGTTATATGAGTTTGAGAGTCTGTGTGGAATCCTGGTTAAAAGAGGTTTGCGGTCAAGAGTTTGCATTTCTACCTCTGTGTTGGACATGTGGGCAGAAAATGTGGTCTGAGGTCCCAAATACTGCAGTTATTCTTCCAGGGGTTACACTTGACACCAAAATACGATTGCAGAGTTGGGATGTCTGCTTTCTTCTGTAACTTCTCCCGTTAAGCGTTCCTTTTCATGGCTTTTGGTGGAAGTGGGATGCAGATGCCTCGCCAAGTAGATTGAATAGCAATTTGACACTAGTGATGTAAGACAAAGTTTGTGATAATTATTCCAGTGCGCCATGTGGGATGGAGGTGAAAAAAGAGAATGGGGTTTAAGATAACTTGTTCATTCATGCCCAAACTTGAGATGGATGTTTAGAACACATTAGTCCTCCATTAATTTCCATGCACTGAACCTTAATTGGTCTGCTGATTTTCTAATCATCTACAAGATATGTAAGAAATTCAGGGTGAAAATGGTGCATATGGTGTCCTTGATATTCTTCACTATTCTTTTAATAGTGTAATGGAGGGAAGGATGCATGATTGAGTTTAAAAAAAGAAACGTAAAATCAAGATGAAGGATTTTTGACACATGGAGACAAGAATCAAACTCTGCACAGCAGGTGAGGCTATGGGTGAGAAAAGCAGAAATACCCTAAACAGACTGGTCAAACTTTCACTTACTTCAACTTTCCTGGGATGTTGCCAGATGTCTCAGAAGTTATTTTCCATTGTGTCATTGTACTCTGTCAGAGTTCTAATCTTACAGCTGTGTATATTTTTGGATCATTTGTATTATCTTATCGAGTCAGTATTTATTCCGGAAAAGCTTTTAAAATGTTCTAATTTCTTTTTTCATTTCACAAACAACTACTAGTAGTCTGTATTAACTGAAAATTCACAATGCTGAAGCGCATTTCAAAACTTGATCCCATTTGTTATCAGAATTGTATTCAGCATCGTTGATCATATCACCTATTTGTTACATACCAAGCAGAGTAAAAAAATCAACTTATGTACCTATTGCAAAACATATTGGCTTATACTTTTTCTAATTTACTAATACCATTATTTTTGCAACCAAAATGGCTAGGTCTATTTTCCTGTCTTTTTTTATCATAGCTGTGCAGCCCTATACCCGAGCAAGCGAACCACAGGACAAAGAGAGACATTTATATTCATTACTAAAACACGTGTGTCCAAAAGGATTTGACTGCACGGCAGTGTGACAGCATATAGTTCCCACAACCATGCAACACCAAGTGTTTTTATCTTCACTTCACTTTATATTCATTTTCATTTCATAAAAAGGGTTTTTTATTTTTGTGGATTTGTTTATCTTTTATTTTGTTGTAGTGTTTTTTTTTTTTTAGTAAGTATGATGTATATAACTCTGTCATTGTCATTTGTCATACTTAATTTTTCTCTGCTTCTTATCTAAAACAATGACTAGTAGGAAAAGTGTTTTAAAAACATGAAAAACGTAAGTACAGAGTACTAGAGAGTGTATTGTGTCTATAAAAGTGCCCCTGGGGGCTGTTTGAGGAAGTGGTCTGGGGTTTTTCACTCCCAACTGCTGCGTCTGTGTTTACTGAACGTTTTGGACTGAGCTTTGGTTATACCCTCATGCCCATGCAGTAACTAAGGTGCTTTTGTGTGTGCGTCTCAAACAGCTTGTGTTTCTGGTTCTGACAAAAACACATGACCTCTAATTCTAAAGCCGAAACAAACAACCGACACTCTGACCTCAAAGTTAAACTGAGAGTTACTGTGAAAGAGCAATACCTGTAATTATTATAATGGGGAAAGATTTGAGAAAAGTTGTAATTGCACCCGGGACCTGGTTTGATTCTTAGGTGCTTCTGGCAACTGCCAGCCACCTTTAGGAGCACTTCGTTCACATGACCAGTTGAGACAGTTCTTATTATGGAAACCTCAGCAATCTTGTGGGAACTGAATAGTCATAAACCACAATTTAATATAAGTTCTTGACATGGTTGGAGTGTGAACTTTGAATCGGAGCAGTTCAGGCACATTTATTTAGAAATTCCTATATTATATCATTTTAAAGTATTGCTTTTGTTCCCTCTCCTATGTCACTATATGTATAAACATTTTTTAAAGGACTGTTTTAATATTGTTCTGGTATTGATTATTGTATTTCACTGTTATTCTAAATCTCTTTATGCGCTGTTCCTTGTAGGCAAATCAAGGGAAACTGTGCGGAGTCCTTCACGGAGTACTGGACCTGTCTGGATTATTCAAACTTGCTAGAACTGCGCCGTTGCCGTCAGCAGCAGCAAGCTTTCGACAACTGCGTCCTTGATAAGCTGGGATGGGAGAGACCTGATCTGGGAGAACTGTCTAAGGTGAGACTTGTGAGGGACTGACTGTGCACTCAGTGTGAGCAGCTTTGTTGATGGGCTCTATTCTTGCTGATTGTGCGCTGTGCAAGAGGCTCTGATTGCATCTGCGTTGTAGTCACATTCGGCTACAGTTTTGAGCAGCCAAATCATGTATTTTATGTTTTTTTTTTTCATAAAATTGCCATTTTCAAGGGGCATGCATAACTCACCTACAAGCACTAATTAGGTAGCAGCAATCAAAACAAGAACAAAAACTGATCTTGACAATAGCTTTTTTGGACATTTTTATTTCTGTAAATTTTGAAAAGACACTTATGTCAGCCTGGGAAAGTGTGAATGGCTGTAATCAACTTTCAGGCCATTTTGCACTTGCCAGGCAGGGCTGTTGTTCATGGAATCAAATAACACGAGCAGGGAAACAAAAGAACAGAAA